GCTATATTTTTATATTTATTGTTATATATGCTTATTTCCCCTTTCAATTTGTGTATCGCTTTACCTAGTTAATGTTTTGTATAATTATGCTAGCATTTGCTAGCCTACCATATATTTTGTAACTAAATGCCTGACAATTATGCCAATAAAGTTTTGACTTTATGATTGCATTTATGCCCGTGTGTGATGATAAATGAAAGTGTTGTGTTTTCATTTACAAATGAAACTACGTGAATGATTAATTCCTCAACTAAACACTATAGTATTTATAATTATGGTCTATTAATTAGCCGAAATAAAATGAAATGCTAAATTTAAACTGCATTCCAGCTAAAATTCCAGTCAGCATAATCAAAGCTTTATTGGCATGTCGAGCATTTACAGTAGGCTATTATTTACAAAAGTATTCAGAACATTAAGTAAAGACATCGAAATAATGGGGGGGGGTTTATATAAACGAACATAAAAACTTAACCATTAATAATAGGCTAATAATAATAATAATATACAAATATTACTGGAAAAAGACGATCAGTTAATGGACTTACAAGACTGTAGGATGGATAAAAATGTTCTCCTGTAGGCCTATTTTATATTATGCACTTTGTAACATTTATTCATGATGAACTTCATTTGAATGCTGACAATCGCATGTAATACAGCCCGGTAGCCAAGGCCTATGTAAGGGAAACAGGTCAATTTAGCTCAAAGGGAATCATTTAAGATTTTAAAGGGAATTAGGACAGAATCACTGTTTTATGGCTGATCACTGAGACGGCCAGCGATTCATTGAACGAGCCGTATAACATAAATTCTGCAATGGATATCAATATCCAAACTATAGTGAAAACACTATTAATTAGCACAGTAACAAGATCGGCAGTTTAAGACATTAACTTGTGAGCACAAAACACAAGATACTTCTCTTTTCAATATAAATGAGGCTTTATTGGATAAATCTAAGACATATAACCTAATCTAACACATGAACACACGTATTCACACAAGTTGCAAAAAGAGAGAAAATTAGGAAATAATGAGTTTAAGAGAATGAAAATGTGAAATCCCAAGTTTACAGCAATATGTGCAATTGCATAGATCTGAACAACCCTCAATCACTTAATTAACCCTCGCATTGAGTTCCTCAATTAGGTTAAAATTTATATTAAATGCACCAGTTCAGCTAGAATCTGGAGGTACTTGCGTTGCGTTGCCTGTACGGGGGTTCCCTTTGTTTTGGTCCTTGCAGAACAGGGGGAGTTTCCCGCGGTCGCTGATTGGCTGGAAGTGTCTTGGTAACACGTGGGAAGCCAGTGGTTGGGCGTTGGCTGACGACACGGAGCTGTGGTCTGAAGTTGAAGTTTAGACGGCACTCTTTTGGAGACAAGGCGTTGGGCAAAACTTAACTCGGAACACACAAAACTCTCAACGGAAAATAAAATAAACTAAAGAAATAGAAGTAAAGTTTGACAAGACTAGGTGGCGTTTCTCCTCATGGTTTTGGAGGAGCTGGCGTGTAAGCCAGAGCACGCTCAGAAAGTTAAAGAAGCATGATTAAAAAGCATAGCTCAAAGCTATGACTAAAAAGAGGAGAGTAAAACAAAGAGCGAGCAAAGAAGAAGGTTGAAGAAGAGGGCCAAGAGAGATTTTTGATGGTGTCCTGAGTATTTAAACCGGGCTGTTTAACACACCCCAAATGGTGCCTCGACCAATTGTAGCTCGGGGTGTTGCAATGTTTCTCCTCCCCATTCATAAATCAACTCTTCTCATCATTCACATGGTTTTGGTTTTCCCGCTCTTGCAGAGTATAATTTTGGACATGATTTCTATAACAAGAATATGATACATTTGACAAAGAATTGATTGGAAGAAACGTTTCAAGCATGAAGATTCAAACACACACATACTAAACATGAATAGGATCCTATAAACTATTCAATAGTTATTCAAAATACATACACAATAAATAATTAAGACCTGATAGTCTGATGTGTGGGTTACATACATGATATGGAGTTATGCATAGAAATGATCAGTTGCTCACCAGTCCTTTTAGTGTCATTTAGATGCATATTTACATGGAAATGCAGTTTCTGTGCCATTCTCTGAACATAAGGACATGATCTGTGAATATATGAAGATCAGAGGTTAAGAGGTCTCTCATAAGGAATTTCAGTCTGTTCTCTGTTGTCGAGGTGGGGGGGAGCCAATCCAAAGAGCTCATGATTGCTATCACTGGTTACCATGTGATGGTCACGCCGTGCATCTCTTTTGACCATTAATCTTAATTACTTGCCCCCAAAATCTCCTTGGAATTGTCAATAAGTGTTATTTTGTTCAAATGCTGTGAGCTACTCAAAGCTGCTGGTTGGTTCAGGCATGGGGCGCCAGGATCTGATTTACGACATCCTGTGTCTTGGGCCTCTGTGGAATTCGGGCTCCTCGTGTTTCAACTGTTCTTTATCAAATCTTACATTGTCTGATTCGGTCTGATATATCCTACACCTATATGGTTAATATAATAATGTAATAATTTATATAATAAATAATATAATAATTTCTTAATTCAAAATAAAATATTAATGAATCCATCTCTGATAATCCCGGGTTGCTATGGTCACGCAGGTTTGTTTACGCATTAAACTCGTGGCCATGAGAAAAATGTCGTTCCCTCAACATAAGAAGTCGTGGCCACAAGAAATGGATGTTGTTCCCTCAACATAGCATCTCGAGTTAATATGACGTTCCCTCAAATTAATATCTCGTGGCCACGACATATCACGTTCCCACAAGTTAATATGTCGTGGCCACGACAAAACTAAGTGAACCGAACATGTCACCTTACGGGCACCATAGAAAGGGCCTTTACAGTTGTCAAAAAAAAATTCATAAATATAAAAAATATACATGTAATTTATTGTTATTATTTTATATAAATAAGCAAGTCCAGCCCAGGAGCCCGTTCTTCTTACGTCGCTTATTACATCCGAGATGAAATGTCACATTCAAGATGATAGCATCGCGCTAATCAGGATCTGGCTAATTTGGTTCTTCGAACGCACCTGTTGTTGATGATTAGTATGGCTGGATTGAGTTATCTGAGATAATTGCGCATTCATGGGTTGGTTTAAAAGGGGCTATGTATTGTAGCGTCTGGACCACTCAAACACACAATATATATTTTGTTAGCTAGATTTCACAAATACTTTGTAACACCCCAGGACGCCGAACAGGACCCTGGTTTCATGGTAACCCGATACATTTACAACCTTGTGGAATGCGAGCCGACTCTCAGCTGCATTCTCCAGAAACAAGGGGCACAAATGCACAGTAGAAATTGACTTTTCTACTAATTAATTCATAGGAAAACCTTTCTTTGAATGAACACATATTCTTCAGGCCATTGTGTATATTATTGCTGTTTTGTATTAATCTGTTGTACGATACTTGAAACCACGATCAGCAATGCAGCGATTGTCTGGCGGCAAGACCGCAACGTCGTCGTCGTCTTGTACGATTTAATGGCGGTTGACAAGCCAACTTATGGTGTGTTACCGCCACCAACTGGACTGGAGTGTGAAGCATTAACGGGAAAGAGAAAAAAAAAGAAAACAAATCCATAAACCAACCGGTAGTATTATTATGAAATTTGAATTCTACTTTCTAATCCTGTTATCTTCAGATAACTAAGAATTTCTCTCATAATACTTGTCTGTCCTGAGGCACAACTTAAAAGATTTGATATAGTGAAAATAATTACTCCTATGTTTCCCAGTTTCAGCAACGTCGTCGTCTTCTAATTTTAGTGGCGGTTGGCAAACCAACTTAAAGGTGCATTTACCGCCACCTACTGGACTGGAGTGTGGGCAGCAAGACAGCAACGTAATGACATCATATAATTAATAAAGACACCTGACGAAAAACTTGACAAATATTTTGACTTTTATAAGGAAACAGCCAAGCGAACAAAACTACATAAATGTTATAATAGATAAATGACATGTGCACTGTTTTTATTTTATTCAAATTTTTTACATGATTCCCAATTATTTATATTCACGATTTCTAATATTTGTACAGGCTTTACATTTTTATTTCAATGTAGTAATTAGTAATTAATTTAATTTTATATTTGAACAGATTTGTTACGTGACAGCATTAATTAAAAAATCTCCTGCGCTCCACCAAGCCACTCCTATAATATCTGTCACCACTCAAATTAATGCACGACTCCACATTATCTGTATAACATGTGTGCAAGACTCAAATACAATTATGAAGTAATAATTTTATGACGGATAAATCTTTCAGTGAGTAAAACTGGCTGTGTCTATAGTATTAAATACTACACAACATTGTCATATTATCTTTAAATTATTTTTAAATGATTATCATTTTAAATTATTGTCCCTGGATTAGTAGGGTACTCTTGTAATAAAGTAGCAGTGGTAGCGGACAGATTTTAAGTATCAATTCTGCTTAAAAAGATGCAATCTAATCCTGTTTACATGAAATACGCCTGATCCCGAGCAGGTTTAAGCTCACAGACCTGTTGCTATGACAGCAACTCCGGGATGAGCTTCAAAGAACCAAACAATCCAAGATCATGCCAAATCATCAACAATCAAATCCAGCTAACTGAGTTAGCGGCATACGAAGAACGGGCCCCAGGTGACAAAAAATGATGCAAAAGTAACGTAATGCATTACTTTCCATAAAAAAGTAACTTTTTTTTGTTATGGAATAACGCAATATTGTAAAGCATTACTTTTAAAAGTAACTTTCCCCAACAGTGGTAGAACTAATCAACTAGTCAGTGTATCACATACTCTGCAATCCTATTGTGAACTAAATACACAATGTCTGTAATTCTGTATCGTTGTTATGTTTATTATCAATTATTAAGTTATATAAGACATGATGTGTAAATGCAATCTTTGTGCACTTCTTGGATAATGATATATGGCCGTATGTCTGTTTTTCTTGTCTCTTTTGCACAGCGTTCAAAAATAGCAGTGTATGAAAAAATGTGGTCGTACATGAAATCGGCCGAGCCCTCCGTCTTCGCCAAGACCACGCCCGACGGGGTGGCACGGGTACGAAAGTCGAAGGGCAAATTCGCCTTTCTTCTCGAATCCACCATGAACGAATACATTGAGCAAAGGAAGCCCTGCGACACCATGAAAGTGGGCGGCAATCTGGACTCTAAGGGCTATGGTGTGGCGACCCCCAAAGGCTCAGCATTAAGGTGGGTGGAATAATATAACAATATTCTCCATGTTGTTATAGTATTCCACCTACCCTGATGTCCTGTGTTGTCATTTCCTCCTCCCCTCCCTACCTCCCTCCCTCCCTCCCTGCCTCCCTCCCCCAATCCCCCTATTATGACAAAGAGGTAACAGTATAATGCATTATGAATGTTATTTGATTTACAATGATGCTTCTGATCAATTCTCTCTTCTTTAAATGTTTGTCTTCTTTTCCAGTTTTTCAACCAGATATTTTTCATTTCGAGACTTATCAGTGGCTATTTTAAGCAATCATTTCTCATTTGTGTGTGTGTGTGTGTGTGTGTGTCTGCGTCCCTTCCCGTCTCTCTTCTATCTTTTTTGTCCTTCGATCTTTCTCTCGCTGACTCGTGTGCCTGTCCTTCCTGACTGTCGTGTTGTCACTTTTAATTTAACAGTTCAACGGTTTTTCAATTTAGCTTGTAAAAGCTGCGCTGTCACTTGTGACGAATGTTAATTGCATGATGTTTGTTGTTGTTACTTTTCTTCTCAATGACAATGTCCCCATCCCGCACACTTCAGTTTGAAACAGCGTAACCCTCCATGCCACCTTGAATATTTAATAGTTTCTTTGCTTTGAGCGTCTCTTACCTTCATAGTCGTGAAATTCTTAACCAAATTGTGCTCTTTCAACCATTCTGATTACTGCTATAATTGACTCTCAGTAGTAGTAGCTCACCGTATTCAGTAATGTTACCATTACTACTACTATGCTAATGCAGTAGATTGCTCACAGACCTGTGCATTTTCTTACAAGTTATGTTTTATTGTTTCAAGAAATGCTGTTAACCTGGCAGTTTTAAAACTGAATGAGCAAGGCCTGTTGGACAAATTGAAAAACAAATGGTGGTACGACAAGGGAGAGTGCGGCAGCGGGGGAGGTGACTCCAAGGTCAGCCTCAATGTCACCGAAATCGGGTACCATAGTACAGAGTAATCGGCAAGCCTGTTATCCCTGAACCGAGCCAAACCAAACGACCAACAAAAAAAACATGCATCCTTTCAGTGATCCCACAATATCTGAGAGCAAAACCAGAACCCTGACTTGGCTAACAGAGGAGAGAAAATGACCAGTATGATTTTGTCCTACTGAGGAGAAGTCACTTTGTTTTTCTTTTACACACTTCACTTTAGCGTAGCGTCCACACACAGACGTTAGTGATGCTGTTTGGTTAGCAGCTGGAGCTGCGCTAGTTCATTAGCGATATTAGCGCTGAAGACTGGTGAACTGTTCGTGTTTTAGGAATCGGAGAAAACATCCGCCTGGCAGACAGTAAAGAGAGACTCTAGATTGCCTTCTCGCTTTGCTTCTGCTAGGCAGCTGTCCACGAACGGTAACATAGTCTTCTTATAGTTTTCACCATTTATGCCAGAGGTTAAAGGGGAAAAGTGTACAGTCTGCCTAATCAGAAATCAGAGCAATGTTTTTAGTGGTACACTTTTTAGGGGAAGTATGTGAGGACAAATCATTGTAGCATTCAAGAACATTCATGTCTGACATTACTAACAGACAGCGCAGATCAGGACTGGTAAAATCAAACAGTGGGATCTGAGGCTTGAGCGGCTAAGAATAACACACATACATGAGCATTCCCATCTCCACACCAATCTGAACACAGGATCAGAAATCCATCGCTTCATTTGATCCTGGCTATTTGTCCTCCCTCCACTAGGCCGATGTTAACCCACTCTGCAGGGCATATGTAGGACGTGTTGGGCCCAGTCCAGCCCTTATTTTGTACTCATGTGGAGGTGAAGATTAACTGATGTGCTACCCTTAGACTTTCCAGTTCAATTCACAGCATTCAGAAAGGCCAAAATCACTTTTATATGGAACTGTTCTTGTTGTTTGTTTTGAGAATAATGGTTAAAATGAGGACACACATGAAGAGGGCTAACAGTGCTTTTTCATGTGTGTCCCAGACTTGAAATTGTACAAGATTAAAAGCCTCATTTTCAGGACCTTCAGAGTTTGCCGAAGTAGAGCACGGATGTAGTTTGTATAATAAAAGCAAAATAGAGTATACATTTTCTCGACATGTAAAAGGATTTATGAAACCACTAAAAGCATTTCAATTTAACTGAAATTTCTTGCGCTCCACCATAATACTTCAGTGTGCATTTGCATAACATTTTGGATTTTAAAAGCTAGCTTTCTCACCACTTAAAATATACTGTGGTGGAATAGATTTTTTTAAATCTAATTTTTGGGGAAGATTTTTCAATTGATTTAAAGTCAACTTGAAATGGCATTCGCAACCCATTGTAATTCCGTAATGTGACATTTCTGGGTGAAATTGTGTGATGATTCTTGTTGATTGTTCAATAAGAATACAAAGATGCAAGGTATTTGCTTTTATAGCTATTATAATTTGTATTAACTAACTAGAGTTAAATTACTGCACTGCCTGTTGCATACTAAGATTTTAGAAATCACCTACGCTCTTAAAAATAAAGGTGCTTCACGATGTCATAGAAGAACCTTTTTGTCTAAATGGTTCCATAAAGAACCTTTAACATCTGAAGAACCTTTCTGTTTCACAAAAGGTTTTTTGTGGTGAAAAAAGGTTCTTCAGATTACAAAAAGGTAAGAAAGAGATGGTTCTTTAAAGAACCTTTGACTGAATGGTTCTTTTTGGAACCAAAAATGGTTCTTCTATGGCATCACTGTGAAGAACCTTTTGAAGCACCTTTATTTTTAAGAGTGTAGATGACAAAAAGGCAACCCAGGCTTAATGAAATAACATGCCTCCAAAAATGTACCTATACATACAATTCACTGCAGCTGAAGTGAATACTAGTAGCAATAAAACACCATTCATTTTCACACAAATTATGATTATGGGTTAGATTTGTTTTTCATGCACAATACTAAGTTATGACATAAAAAAGTGCATGATTCATAAACTAATACAGTATCAGACTGTCTCATTATCAGGTTTGGGTTTAGTGTAAGTTGTTCATTAATTGTAATTGTAAACACATTAGAACTTTAACCTTTTAGCGCCATTCAGCAGATGTTTCGCTTCTGATACGTACATCAACCATTGTTGTTGTAAAACGTTGCCAGACTCACGCTCATCTGTTTTGGATAAACCTGAACGTTTTATCGCCACCCTCTGAACATTTCACTATAAAAGTGTCGCAAAACGTGCAAGAAGTAACGTAATCATAAAAAGTCACCATAAGCAACATTTTGTTCCAATGAGCCTGGGTTGGAAAAAGGCATAAAAATGCCCACATAGCTAGTATGGCCTGCGTGACATCAATCAAAGGCAAAAACTTTTTCTGAGGAGGACCAAGTCATTATATTTTGATAATATAATAATAAAAAAGATTACCTTTTTTTAAAGAATACTGTGCACTAATGAACCAGAAATGTGTATATAGACAAAACATAATGCCAGTTTTGATTTCACGTTGACTTTAATTGTCATTTATTTTCCATAGTTTCCTATTTCGTGAAAGTGGGGCCTCTCTAATAACGTCTTTACTAGTTGTTAGGGAGCAGGTTTTTCAGTACAAACAAAAGCATTGTGCCCCCTGCCTGTGGATGAAGGTGAAAGGTTATGTGAGCTTTCATAATCACCTTCTTTGTTCCAGCTCTCTGTTTTTGCAGTTTGCAGTGATTTGAAGCCCCCATTAGTCGACACGCAGTGGATGGGCTAGCTCTAATGATCTAATGCAGTGAGGCTGCAGTGGCACGTCTGGACCCAGCCGCACAGCCAGCTGTGGAAAAACACAACAAAAAGAGAGAAAAACAGGAGAGAAATCCACATTAAGCCACCTGCGACAAACCGACATCTTGAGTCACACAACCCGTTCTCCTCTCGGCCCCTGGCAGCCCGCTGCCATCCTCGCTGCTGATAGCGTTCCCACTCCAGTCGCTCCAAACGCTCTGAGGATAATTGCATTGTTAATCAATGTCTCTTCCCAAGCTAAAAGAAATGTTAGGACCATATAGCTAAATCAGCAGCAGCTATGAGAAATGTAAAGAACATTTAAGTGACTAATTATGTCTAGACGAGTGATGGCATGGCTTTCAATTTTTAGAGGTTTACATTACGTTCTAGAAAAAAATATCGTTCTCTAGCAAAAAAGTCAACATGAAATGATAATCGCAACATATGTGACTTGCAATTAAATGTGATATTTTACAAGGAAAAAGTGGGACTTTATTTCATTTAATAAGAACTGAATGCATATCATGGAAAAATGCTGAGAAACACTGCAAAAATAGTGTAGTGATTTGCTTTGAGACAGAAATTGCTAGTAAATGTCACAAACAATTACAAGATAATGGCAGTCAACACATATTCCAGTCAGCTTTATTTAAAACTTTTTACGGTGTACCAAAAATCTGTTGTGCAAGACACAAGACATTTAGAGGCTGAGCAATTTATTGCAATATGATGAAAGATTACGAAGGCAAATCTATTTTTCTTTGAAGCATTATGCCCCCTGTTGAAAAAAACAGCATATGCTGGTTAGGTATGTTTTGAAGCATGGCTGCTGGTTTGAGCTGGTTTAAGCTGGTCCTTAGCTGTTCATGAGCTGGTCAAAAGCAACTAGCTCCTGCTCAGGACCAGCTTAAACCAGCTCAAACCAGCAGCCATGCTTCAAAACATACCTAACCAGCATATGCTGGTTTTATTTGGAAAACTGTGCATAATAAGGCATGCATGTGTATTAAGAAAATAAATAGGATCAAT